CCCCCCCCCGCCTCCCCCCCCCCCGCCCCCCCCGCCGCTCTTTTCCGCATGCGCCGTCCGCCAAACGCTGCTGACCCTTTTCCCGCGCATGCGCGGAAGGGGTTTGACCTTTGGCCTTTCCCCTTCCTTCCCCGGCCCGGTGACACAGGGCGCTGCGATGGCGGCCTGGCCGGGCGGGTTCTCCTCACCGCTGCTCGTGCTGCTGGCGGTGTCGCTGCTGCTGGCATCAAGCCGCAGGACTGGATCGCGGCCGCCCGCGTCCTGGTAGACGGCGAGGAACACGTCGGCTTCCTCAAGTGAGCGCTGGGGCTGCGCCCCCCGCCCTTCTGTGTAATACCCTTTCCTGGAAATCTGGGGTCCCTGACGTCCCCCTGCGTCACAGGGGCGGGTGACGTCACGGGCATGACGGTTTATGCGGGGGAGGGGGAGAACTGAGTGTCATGGATTCCCTTGAGTCTAATTAGGGGAGGGCCTGACGCGAAGGTGGCCGCTCTGTGCAGCGGTCCTGAGTCACTTGTACGGGTAGTGACAGCCCTCGTGTCCCCGCTGGCCGGGTCTCTGTCCGATTGCAGCATGGCCTTGTCCCCGTGTCCCCAGTGTATTGAGAGAGGGTTTGTCAGGCTCCTGCCCCCCACCAACCCACAGAAATAATCCCATGATCTGATCTTGCCGTTGGTTTCTTTCCTTCCCGGGGATTACTCTAAAGCACAGCTTCTCAGCCAGGTGCCACGGCACCCTGGGGTGCCTGGAGATCCTCCTGGGTGGGGCACACAATGTTCGCACTGTTCGGTTTACCAATATGTTTTGCTAGTTAAACCCACGTGCTTCCAATAGCCATCCACAGCTGTGCTCTTCTTTGCAACAAAACTGCTCTCCTGTTTTTCTGCACTCAAAATAAATACATATATACATAAGTAAGAAAAAGTGACAAGCGAAGTGCTGGCGTTTTCTGAGTGGTTCCGCGAGTCTAAAAAGGTTGAGAACCACTGACCTAAGGATACTGTTGGCCACCTGGGTAAAAGAAAGCCATATTTAATTCTGAGCTCAGTGAATACCCTGGTGCTTCTTGCCTCTCACAGGTGTTCCATCGTGTTGGTTATAGTCTTTTGAGGTTTTTGCACTCACAAGTTTCCATTACTGTCAAGTTTGGGTGACGTGGCCATGACGATGCATGATGATCCAGGAAAAATACAAGAGGGGAGGACTTGGGGGTGATATCTTTTACTGGACTAGTTGTATCCCTCTCAGTCATGGAGTTGGTCCAATACAAGATACCACCCACAAAAATCCTTCCCTGTTGGTCAGGAATTTCTCTGTTCTGGACTGGTAACTTCTCAGATAGCTAGGGCTAAACGCACGAAGGCTTTGATTGGGATATAACTTGCACTCGATTCGGAGTCCAATAAGGAAAAAGTTCAGAGAGGAGTATCAGAAAGATATCTAAACTATAAATTGGAGTTAGGGTGGCTTTAGTTGGCATAACTAAATCATAGCATCCTGCAGGCACCGGTGTACCTAGGCACTGATGGAATATAATCATTTCTAAATTTTCACTCTTGATTAATTTGTGGGAGATGCCTAAGCTATGAAAGCGCTCTTAATTAAAGCATTCTGCAACTATGAGAAACCAAATTCTAGTAAATCATTTACTAAATTTTTCATAACCTAGCTACAATGTTAATTTCTCTTTGCTTGCAGAAAAGTAAAGAAAGCATCAGTTTTGCTATAATAATATTTCAGCTTAGTTACCTGGAAGAGTTCAGCATGTTTGTATGTTGTTACCTGAGTCCTGTATTGGAGGAGTGAACAACGTGCCCTAAATAGCTCTAACATTTCAGGCTCAGCAGTGAGACTTCCATCTGAGTGACAAGGTACAGGTTTGCCGTGTCTTGTCACTCCTCATGGGTGGTGGCTGGTTGCACTAAAGTAGACAGCTAGCTTTTTGAGATGCTCAAATTTTCAATTCTCAAAAATATATTCATGGTAGCAATGATACTGCCCTTTTTTATTGAAAGTGATAGAGAATAGGCTCTTGAACTTTCATATAACCTTTCATAAACTTAAGGCTAGTTTACACAGATTAGTGATTAAGTCAGTTGCCAGAATTGGACAGAAACACTAATATTTGAGCAAACAACTTATTTCCTTGAATCTTCTATTTAAAAAAAAAAAAACTCAGCTAAATTGTACCAAAAGACTCTTGCACAGTCAGTATGCTAGTGGAATGTGTTCTGCACGCCATTTGTTTAGTGGGGGAGAAAATAGTAGATACACAACGAAATGTCTTTAGGTCGTTAAAGGATACAGAAACAATCTGTATACATATATCACTTAAAGGCTGTCACCTCTATGTGGGGAAAAAATAATTCGTACATCACTTGGGGAGAAAACAGGCTAAAAACTCAAGGGCAAACCCTATTATAAAGTGCTGTAGGCTTTACTTCACTGGAATGCATTTCTTAAGCATACTAACTCTCTGCATTTTTGCTTCCTTGTGAAATTTTAAGAGCATCTGAGAGAGCCTTTGGAAGGAGGAGGGAGACATTTTACCTATTTATTACTTTTACAGTGACTAGGAGCATCAACTCTGATTTTCCTGGGGGATCTTTGTGAGTGTCTAGGGGAGACATGTGAGTGTTCACACTAATTGCCCCCCATTAAAGGAGGGGAAGGATTGTGTAATCTTTTAATCTAAAATATTCATTGAGTATTTACTATTTCCAGTCTGACTAAAAATATCACTGACCTTTCCGTCGTTCAATTTTCATCATTTCATTTTGGGATGATCTCATACAGGTTTCCCACATAGACAACATCTGAATTATTTTCCTTCACTTAAAAACCTCTTGCTCTCCATAATGAAGCAAAATATGCATAAACCCAAGTTTTTCCTGTGGCAGCTTAACTTTAAGAGTTGCAGAAATATAAGACCTCAGTTATTTAGTGTTGGCAGAAATACCAAACATATATCTTTATACCTACACTTTGTACTTTGGTGGGCAGAATAAAGGTTTAAGTTGATCCTGTTAGCATTTGAATGCATGTTATGATAAATCTGGCTTATGCTCATGATCTTGAGTGATTGTTATTGGATATAGTAGGTTTTTATGAAAGCACTAAAGATTAGATTCTCCTCCTGATCACTCTTACTTAATTGCTTTATAGTAGAAATCTTGTAACTTTTAGTATGTATGTATGTATGTATGTATTTATTTATTTTATATCCCTGGTATATTGAAGTATGGTGGATTTTTATTTTTATTTTCCCAGGACAGATGGAAGTTTTGTGGTTCATGATATACCTTCTGGATCTTATGTAGTCGAGGTAATATCCCCAGCTTATAAATTTGAACCAGTTCGAGTAGACATCACTTCAAAAGGCAAAATGAGGTGAGCATCCATGATTGTTTATGCATTAATCTACTGAACCGAATTAATAACTGTACTACCAGCCAGATTCAGTGTTGCTTAAACACACTGCAGTTCGGATGGGGGTGATGTTGTTCATTTTGCTAGCAAAACTTTAACTTCTTTTTAAAAGTTACTTAGAGGTATACCTTTCTTAGCATCTGCTTAGCTTAGTTTTCCTTCCATTCCCTGCTTTTCATCTTTGAAAATGGGAAGAATTAGAAGAGTTGTTTATTTCCTTCCTTCCAGCAGACTGACTTCTTGGGTTGACAGTTGTCAGCTTGAAACAGAATCTGCCTCTAAATTCTCCTTCATCTTTTAAAAAAGCTTTAGACTTTTTTTCCTGTTGTAGTTTATAGTCCTTTTCTGTCTTGTATTGTGACTAGGTGAGAAACAGCTCTCTTAAATCTGTCTTTGCTGCTTTGTTCACATTCTCTTCCAAAGTAGTTGTTTGGAAAATGGCCTTTCTTTTTCCATGGAAGGAGCAGGCTGCTGTGTTTAGTATGCAGAATGAAGGGCCAACCTTGTCTCTCAAATATGAAATAAGCTGACAGCCTCTCTTCTATTTGTCTGCTCTTAATTTTCCAAAGCTCTCCTCATCCGCAGCAATGCTACCTTTATCTTTTTTTTGAGCTACAGTAGTGTCTTGCTATAGACAAATATGTGATGGTGTGCTATTATTCAATATTTGCCAATTGCATTGCTTGCTTTTCTATCCCTTAAAAGATTGACATCTCAAATTAAAAATTACAGTAACTGATTCTTTGTGCTTATTATTCACAATATTGTCTTAATCAAATAACTCTCATCAGTTCAAGGTTTTTTTCTCACCAAAGTTAGAAAATTTAACGCTAGAACCTTTTTAGGCATCATACTTTTTATTAAAGGCAATCACATCATTCCAGTATTTAATAGGAATTCATATCAAACTTGAAAGGAAGAAGTGCTTTTAAAATTACTTGAATTTCCTTCATTAGAGCAAGATATGTAAATTACATCAAAACCTCTGAAGTTGTCCGGCTGCCATATCCACTTCAGATGAAATCTTCTGGCCCCCCTTCTTACTTCATAAAGAGAGAGTCTTGGGGATGGACAGACTTCCTAATGAACCCTATGGTATGTATACAAGTAGCACACACAGGTATTTACTGCTGATTTGGGATTTTGCCTACATTTAGTGGGTTTAGTTTCCATCTACAATAATTAGAATTCCAGGCACAGTAAATTAATTATTTTGCACTTTTAGAAATGGAGAAAATGAACAGAAAAAGTGCAGGTCTTAAGGTAGGCTTGTTTTCAGAGACGTTACATATGAGACATCCATCTCTAGGGATGGATGGTTACCAGCTGCAGCTGCAAGCTGGTGGTTAATGAAAAAGCCTTACCAATAATTGGATGAAGCCGAAGATGCAATATAGATTTAAAATGTCCTCATCTCAGCTAGCAAGAAAATTGTTTTGCTCTTTGTTGCATAAATAAGGAAAGGCATTAGAACAGGATAAACATAGCCATACTTACAAATAACTAATAAATAATTAATATTTAATAACTTCACAATAAAGTGTTAATCTACTGATTGAGTTCTTTGCTCTTTGCACAGTTAAAATCATTTGTCTGATGAAGGCCTTACTTTTTGCTTTAAATATTTAAGTAGCATATAAATGACCGTGTTATTAGGTCTTAATATGCTGAGAAAAAAATTGCACTCATGGGAGACCCCTCAGCAATAATAAGAAAATACAGTGCATCCTAAAGTTGGTGAAGAATTTGCCTTTGTATTAAAATGAGTTAAAAGAATGCTTTGGCTTGCTTGGTCTCATTCTTCGCTTGCCTTTAAAATGCTGTAATTGTAAATGTGCTTGATTGGCTTTTTTTTATTAGAGGTACCAAACACTCTCTACTTTTTAATTTTAGTTGTAAAAAAATAAACAAAACTGTGCACGTATGCCATGATCCTGTACTGACAAATGTCTGAGTGTGAGGAAAACCCAGAGGGTGTGCTCTAATAGTGTCTTCTTCTGTGGTAAAGCATAGGCAACTGATATAAAACCTGATAGAATAAGTACTGCCCAAACAGTATTATGTTCTTAAGTTTTAATTGGCAGTCATAAAATATATTAACAAATAATAATTGTACATACTTACATGTATGTTCATGTTTAAAGGAAGTCTAACCATGGCTGGCACAATTAAAGTTATCCCTCTTCTAATATGATTTATGATTTGTAATTTTTAAGGGCATCATGTTGCAGATAGATTTAATGATGACTAGTTTGACAGGGAATAGAACTCAGTCCCAACCAAATCCTTTTAGATGTTTTTAATGTCCTTGGGAGTGCTCACAATTGAATAGAATAGCAGTACTTGGGAAATTAATAAATAACTTATTTATCATCAGCAGACAAGGTTCCTTAAGTGAATTTGATATCTTTTATTAGACCAACCCAAATGGTTGGAGAATAGTTATTAAGCAAGCTTTTGGGTTCAAAAACCCTTTGTCAGGCTAAGGAAGCTTCAGCAGTTGGTGTGTGCTCTTCCTGGATGGATGGATGGATGGATGGATGGAACATCTGTACTGATGTTCTTGTTCCTTGTGGGATTTAGACTAGGTTTAAAGTTGAGCTAATTTATGCTGTTTGGGTTACATCTGGGCCCACAGATGTCTTCATAGGCAGAGTTCTAATTGCATATTAATTATAAAAAATCGTAATCATTTTGAACTGTGATTTCTAAGCTAAAGAAATATTTTTTTATGTGTAGGTGATGATGATGGTTCTTCCATTACTGATATTTGTATTATTGCCTAAAGTTGTGAACACCAGTGATCCTGATATGAGGCGGGTAAGTAGTAAACTCAGTAGGTGAAACCTTGTGGTGATCAACAGTAATTGAAAGTGTAGGAGAAAAAGTTGATTTTTTGGGAAGCATTAATAGACCACTGTGTTTATTCAGTGAAAATAAAGGTGCAAGTTAAGTTATCAGTTCTAGTATTTCAGACTGATGAGTCTACATGAGTCTCAACACAAAATTTAAATTGCTAATTAAGTGCATCTAGAAAAGGTATTGTAGCTCATATTTTTCCAGAACTTCTATAAAAAAAAAATCTCTACCTGCTTCTGCTTCTCTTGTAAGTCTCCTAATTTTTTTCTTCAAAATAGAGTATTTTGTAAACCTCTGATCAACCTATAAAGTGTGTTTTATGAGGCTAAAATACTACTGTTATCTTCACCTCCTGTCACTCAACCAAAAATGAAAGGCTCGATGTACTATTAACTGCTTTAAACTGTGACAAAGGCATTGATGATATGGAATCTTAATGTAGTCATTTACATTTAAATGATCTTAATGTATTGTCCTTTCACCATGCAAAATGCCAAATAGCGGAAGGCTAGGACAAAATGGAGATTCAAGGTGTTTAGTAAATGTTTTCTGTTGTTTAGAAATACGCATTGCCTGTCTTTGGGTGGCTTCTGCTTTTGGGGTTCACTTGGTTCCAACTCTTCTTCCTCTTAATGACCACTGTCTTCAGTAGTACTTTACAGGTGTCCAGGCATCTTTAAAGAAGGACCTTTAAAAACAGTATCAGGAGATGATTAATGTCTCTAGTTTAACCTTAATAGAAACCAAAATGTGAGTATAGAGAAGTTGAATATGAAATACCATTACACTAGAACTGCAGAGATTGCATTAATAAAAGCTGTTGTTCCTTTGGTGCATGCCACCTATCCTTTTGTGGGCAGATGAGCTACTCACACAGTTTTAATTTTTATTAACTGGGTAATGGTGTTCTTATTCATGTAAAATTCCAGATGGTAAGGAACTTGATTTCTTTTGAAACAATTTTTAGGCACATGAAAAGCGTAGAATCTGTGTTAAATTAAAATATGACACGCTTTTCACCAGCACCCTCCCTACAGTGTAAAGTTCAAATTCATTCACTGATGGAGATTTTGTATTCTCTTCAAAAGTTTGCTTTTTTTCTGTTCAAATGGTTCACATATTTATCAAATACATTAAAGGGGATTATGTAATAGCTGTGCTTCCCGTATAAGCATTAAATACAAACAAAATATAAGCAAAAGGCTACTCAATCAACTTTTTTGAATACCTCATACTTGAAAAACATTTTAACGAATATTGATATAAAACAATTTTGGGTGTTTGGCTTTCATTTTTCATATATATAATCTGTCCTTAACACGCACAGTATTACACTTTGGAAATGTAATTTAACTTTCTATTAATAAAATTCTTAATTTCCTTTAAAAGAATAGTAAGTATTTCACTCTCTTCAACTGAAAGGATATTTATACTAACCTGACTACAGTGATACTAGCCACAGAGAGATAGATGGCCTTGCCTGAAGACTTTTTTTGCACATGGAAAAGGAAGAAGTTTAAGTCTGCTGTTAAAAGGCATTGGATCAAAATAAAATAGCAGTTCATAAATTGCTGACTGCAGGCCATTCTTGAAATTTGTGCTAGACTTTCACTAAATACCAATTTTTGTAAGCTGAGTCATATATGCAAAACTTTAAAGTATGCAAAGTTTGTAAGAGAACAGAACTTAATGACTTAATAAGAGCTTACATGAAAATGGTAAAATAATATTATTCTGAAGATCAGAGTATTTTAGTTAAGTGCCTTTAAAAATGACCTGTAAAGGCTACTTAAGACATGGTTGTCTTGTCTATATCCTGTGCTTCTAGTACTTTTTAAGTTCTGTGTGTAGTGGGGATTTGGCTGCGGTTGCATAAAGAAATTAGTGATGTGTCCCTAGCTATAGAAAGCTATTGCACAGTAAAACTATGATGGAGGGAAATGCTAACTTATTCACCTGGTATTTCACTTGAATTTTTATGAGTTTAAGATTGCCTAATTTTTGCATGCAGGAAATGGAGCAGTCAATGAATATGCTGAATTCCAATCATGAACTGCCTGATGTTTCTGAATTCATGACGAGACTTTTCTCTTCAAAATCTTCTGGCAAGTCTGGCAGTGGTGGTAGTAAAGCAGGAAAAAGTGGTCCTGGAAAAAGGAGGTAGTTGTTTCTTCCTCCTTGGCCTGAATTTGCACAATTGTTTGTTACATGGTATCATCTGTATGTCTTGCAAAGTTAAAAAGCCACTATTGTAAACCTTATCTGACATGAAAAAAATGACCTGCTACTACTGTTGTATGTGGTGTAGCTTTTTTAGTGTATTTAAGCTGTTTTGTACTAGGCAGCAAGCAAAAGAGGACCTGGCTTCAATACTCTTATCTGTGTAAAGTCATTATTAATGATACTGAATTAACTACCTTGCTCTGTAGAGAATGACATTAAAGTAATTAAATTGTATAAAGTACTATACATTACTGAATAAGTCTTAATCCCAAGATTGATTCAGTATGTGTAAAAAGTGGTTGCAAAGAACCTAGAGGCCACTTTTAAAAATGGACTTAATACTATTTTATAATCTGTTCACTTCTGAAATGTATAAAACTACCCTTAAGCTCTGTCAGGTTAATTCTGGATCCCCAATATTCATACAATAAGGAACATAGTTCAGGTCCTTCCATTTATATTGAATGCATTTTTTCCCCTGAAATATAGTTGGGTCTTGCTGATTTTCTTACTAGGTGTGGTATTAGTCTGGCCAGTTATCAGACTTGAAGCCAAGTACAAAACTTTAAAAGCCAATTTTGTTACTGTATTTTCAGTTTTACTCCCATGTTTATACTGTTCCCATCAAACAGTATACTAGAATATGATTACATTATAAGGTTTCTTGGGCTATACACGGTCACTTGGGAAAAATTAGTTTTTTATTGTGACATAATAGGCTGTGCTATAGTAATTCATTCATTTATTCTGAATGAAGGGACTCTTTTCAAGCTACTCTGTTACGTTCAGGTGGTGTATACATTTGACAATTCTCCACGTAATGAACACTTGTATGGTTAAAATTTAAGGAACTCCTGTTTTACCTCCTTAGTGCCTCTGTCTTTCATTTTTGAGCTCTGTCACAAATAATTATTTTGGGCTAAACCAAACATTTACTGTGATATAAATCCTGTCCTGAACATTTTTATTTATTGAAAGAGCCCAACATGTTAGTTATTCTTAAAATACCTATTTCAGTTGGTTATTCTTTTTGCAATTCAGCTTTTCTCATTGTTCACTGATGTCATAAGTAGGAGCACCCATGCATAGGGGAAGGTGTATCTGATATCAAAACAATATTTAAAGTTTGGCCACTAAAAGCAAAGCAAAGTCAATCCTGATGCTCATTTGCCAGTTTTAATAGGCATTTTCCAAACTGCAAGCTCAACAAATGTTTATGAAGATGGATTTATCCAGTCTCTCAAGTTTTAACATTGCAGCATGATGAAATGTATGTTGATGGATGCTTTAACTTAGTAAAAACATGGTTTAAAGTACTTAGCTGAAAATTGCTGATTTCAACTGTGCTTGGAATAACAGAGCTGATTAAACATTCAGTTCACTTTTCCATCTGTCCACTCACCCATTAAAGGTTAGATTTTAATAAACATTAAACTTAAGCAGCCAGTAGGCAGCAGGAGGGGAAAATATCAATTATCTTATGGTACATATTTATAGCTGTGAAACATAAAGGCTAGAAAAAATAAATACTTGTTCACATGATCAAGTTAACACTTAAGCTGTGGGAGGGAAATAAACAGCTGTCTCTTTCAGCTGAGCATAAAGAGTTTACAGTCTTTCAAAAGGAAATTGTGGGTAGTATATTTATTTTACATAAGAAAAAGCTCTTTGCGATAAGTATTCCAATATTGTCTGGTAACAGAAGGTTGCTGAAATAAGGCCTTAGCTGTTCCCTGGATTCATATTGCTTCCATAAAAATTGAGCTGTAATATGCTAAACCACCTGCCACAACAGCACTTTAATAAAGGACTTGTAAAAATACATGGAATTTGCTCTTGCAGTGGGTGAAGCTCTGGACATAGAAATCAGGGTTCTAGCTGTGGGATTCCCAATATGCCCCTAGATACAAAAGCCATGGTTGGAGGAACTGAGGATTTCTCTCACTGAATAAATGGTATGATGGTTAACTTGCATTAATTTTTGGTTTTAATTGCACTTGTATCAGCAATTGAAAATATGAACAAATAAACCTCCTTCTGTTGAGGTGGAGTAAATAGAATTTTCCAGACTAATGATATCCCTTCTTCCTTCCATCATGTCTGTTGGAGAACTTGTTGTGGTCTTTTCCTTATATTTAGTTTATTCTTGGAAAAATGAAGTTCTTCCTTATGTTAAAAAATAGAAGAAGAAGGTGGCTAGGAGCTGAGTACAGGGTAGCAAACCTGCTGTAGGAATCCTAGGGATCCAGCTGAAAATGTGGGAGAAGATGGATTCCTTATAGCATGCCTGCTTAGAGAGATGGATGCTACCAGCCTTCAGTTAGTTTTCTCTTGAAGTCTCACTCACAATGTCGGGGAATGGGGATGGCTGTCTGGAACTGTCCTTACCCCTCCAGTGGAAGGGCATCAGCTCCCCGCTTGTGAAAGTAGTTTGAAGAGACT